GTTATAATCTTCTCAGAGAAGACATCTTAGACTTCTCAGAGAAGACTACTTAGGTTTCTCAGAGAAGACTACTTGGTATTCTCATAGAAGACTATTTGGTCTTCTCATAGAAGACTATTTGGTCTTCTCATAGAAGACTATTTGGTTTCCTCAGAGAAAACTACATAGGCTTCTTAGAGAAGGATATGCAGGCTTTTTATAGAAAACTACTTAGGCTTATCAGAGAAAACTTCTTAGGCTTCTTAGAGAAGACTACTTAGTCTCCGTGGTCGTCTTGTCACAAAAGACCCCTTAATCTTCACACACAAGGCTCCATGGTCTTCTCAGAGAAGACTATTTGGTCGTCTCAGAGAAGACTCCTTGGTCTCCTCATTGAATACTACTTATAGAAGTTGAAAAGAATCTCCTTTGAATTTCCTCCTATGAAACTCTTGCAAAAGTGAATATAAATAAAGGTTGCGGAAATTTTGCACAATTACTTTTCTTTATAGTTCACTTTAACGCTCTGAGAGGCGGTTTAAGTTTAATCCAGAAATTTATTATCATGAAAAGTAAAGCGTTTTATGTGTTCTGACTTTTGCTTCCTTAACTGCTTCTCTGCTCAAAGAAGGACCAGCGAACGAAAATCCAACACCGCTACCATCAACAACAACATCGCCATCATCATGAAGTGCAGTGCTTAAAAACAAAGTGGAATTTTTGGCATTTGTGGTGTTCCTTAATTAAATTAATTGTGGTCTCGAACAAAAGTAAACGAAAGTTTCGTCGGAGACACAGGGTGTGTCATATACATTGTAGGCATACACATGCATACATATTTCACTTCAAGTTGTCAACAACAACAGCAACTACTTTGATATACTTATTACAACGAATACAACACCCATAACCAAGAAAAAAATGGCAACAGCCATTTCTTAATGGCTCCTGGTAGGTATTCGAAGTAATGACGACAACAAAATCCATTTTTCGTATTGCTCATTTTCACAAGCAAGTCCAGGAGTCCGTGTGCCGGAGTAAACGTGTTCCTTGCTGTTGTTTGTTAAATACAAAATATCAACAAATACCATTTAGAAATCGACAAATATTTAAATAATAATCATAGAACTTTCCTCGGAAATGGCTTAGCAGTAAAGGTAAATATTTATAATGGTTATGTACTTACGACGAAGACCTACCTATTGATAGGATAAGTAATTTTCTGGCCATATACAAAACTATAATTTGCTGACAAGGTACTTTCGTTGTTGTTGTTGTTGACAGTGGGTTGGAAAGGGGGATATTAAGGCATGTTGGCATATCATTATGGATATATGGTGGACAAGATATTTGTGAGGGAGGTTAGGTCGAAAATGAAAAATATCTCTCTGGTTGTCCGGCAAACATTTTGGACACTGTATCACATTGAGGATCGAGAATGGACAATATTGGTCCACTCCTTCGGGTATCTCCTACACAAACTGACTAGGAATCAACGCTCAGACGAAACGACTGAAGCTAAAATCTTGCAATTTTGCACGAGGGCCAGTTTTGGAGTATTGGCGTGTAATAAGGATGGGTTTTGTAAATTCGTGCTAAATGGGAACAGTATTAAAATGTACTAAAAATTTAATACCTTGTTTTGGACAAACTAAATGAGCAAGAAAGTGCGGGATAAATATATAAGGGTTTTTTGAAATTTCGAAAGGTTACGAAAAGTTTTAAAATGGTACCATTTGGTATTATGTGCAAAGACATAGAAGTGTAAAGATGGGACAAGACAGAGTCAAGATATGGCAACCCTGTGAAAATGCCTCTGTTGTTATGATATCGTAACAACATAGTTAGCAATGTTAAGCGATTAAAACCGCTTAGGCAATATGCAATTAACTGGGAAAGTCTATGGAGTAAAATTTTGAAACCCAATTTTTGGATTTTTCAAATTTTTGTTTGTCTTATATTTCTATAAATGGGTTTTTTTATATTAACACGGTCCTGTCATGAGCTGTTATCTGAATAGTATAGACACAAACCATTTGCTCAAAATGCATTTTGTCTAGTCTTTACCATTTTAGGTCTTTGTTATGTGAACGGATAGGGATAAAAACTTGGAATTTGGAATTTGGAGAATCAAGGTTAGAAAGTAAGTTTGATATGTGAATATGGCTTTGGAAATGTGTTCTAAACGAACTGTACTAAATGGTACTATATTTGAAACAGTTAACAGGAAATTTGGAAATTTTTACAGGTGCGAGAATGGAATGGAGAATCTTGAAATTTTTCACGAGAGCCAGGTTTGGTTTGGTTGAAATCTACTAAAAATTTAATACTTTGTATTGGACAAATAGAATTTTTAGATTTGGCATTCTCATCCCTAATAACTGACTAATGGAGTGCAGGATAGATGGGTAAACGGATGAAGCTGGAATTTTGTATTGGTAGTTTTATGATAAAGATGTGCACAAAAAGTACTAAAAAGTACTATATTTGGTACAATTAGATACAATTAGCTTAGTGTAGCTTGGATATATTTAGTTTCGAAAATGTGTACTATAATTGTACGAAAAATACTGAATGGTACTAAATATGGTATTGGGTGAAGGGCTAGAGATAAAATTCTGAAATTTGAGATTTAGATTACAGATGGTATCTGTGTTTGAGACATGGTGGTGATTTCGAAATGCGAAAAGTACTAAATTTGGTATTAGGTAAAGGCAAAGGTAAAGACTGGAATCCTGATATTTTATATATAGATGTCACTATTGGTGTCTGTAGTTGAAATATGGAGGTGGTTTTGAAAATAATTGGTCGAAAAGTACTAAATAGTACTTAATTTGGTATTGAGTGAAGGAATAGAGGTTGAGTCCTCATGATATTGAGGTCTTTGTTTGCATTTTTAATTGAGATATAGAGGTGGTTTTGGAAATGTGTACTAAAATTATACGAAAAATACTAAAGGTCACTGAATTTATATTGAAATTTGATAGTGAGGTCTCTGTTGGGATCTGGAACAGTTATGCAAATGCGTATTATAATTGTTCGAAAAGTACTTAGTGGTACTAAGTTTGGTATTGGGTGAAGAAATAGAACTAAAATCTTGAAATTTGATAACGATGTCACCGTTGATGTATGTGGTTAAAATATGGAGGTACAGGGTGAGATAAAAAAACTTCAACAAAGTCAAACGCCATAATTTTTACATTTTTTTAATTTTATTGAATAAAAATAAAAAATGTCGGAAATAGCATCAAATTTTAAAATAAGTTTTGATTTGTTCGAATTGGTAACCTTTGGCATGAATTATGGCATTCAAACGGCCAATAAAACCGTCACAAGATGCCCAAATGTTGTTCTGCGGTATATTGGCCCATTCCCGGCATAGCGCTTGCTTAGTATTTTTTTAGCGACACTTAAGTATTTTGTTAGTGCCAACCTTGCTTTCCAAAATTCTCCAGACACAATAGTCCAACGGATTGGTATCCGGAGATTTAGGTGGCCATTTTGCGCTTAAAATGAAGCGAGGAACCTCATTTTGTAACCATTCTTGAGCTGCGAGTGCTGAGTGCGATGATGCTGAGTCCTGAGTCCTGTTGGAATGTCCAAGGTGCGGCCAAAATGTTTGCGTGCCCAAGGCTTTAATACACCCTCCAGAATATTTTCGAGACAATATTCGGCATTTTTTCTGATGCCACGGCCGATTAATACCAGCGGAGAGCGACCATCGACTGTTTTGGCGGCCATCACTATGACCGGCGCTTGAGTTCTGGTGGCCAACCGAAGGTGCACATTTTCAGCTGACCTCTTTGGAAAGAAAACACGATCATTTTGTTTGTTTACAAACTGCTGGACAACGAATATTTTCTCATCGGAGATAACCAAATTCGACACTTCACCACTTTCGGCCAAGCGAAGCAACTCTTTAGCTCTTTTGAGTCCCTTTCTGTTGCGGTGTAAGTTCTCGCAATTTTTGGAATTTCAAAGGCTTTACCCCGAGCTCATTTTTCAATATTTGACAAATGGAATATTGCGATATGTTCAGCTCATTTTTCGGCCACTGCGATGCGGGTTTCGATCAAGTCGCTTCTTTACTTTTCGAACAATTTCTGCTGATGTTTCTGTTTTCTTTCGTCCACTTCCTTGACGTCGGGCTACGTTACCAGTATCACGGTAACGAGCGATGATACGTGACACAAAAGATCTATTCACATTTAAATGCTTGAATTCCATCACGAATAACTTTTTTTCTGAAGAATGCTTACCAAAATGCTTTTGTACACTTGTAAACAATATAATGAGCTGTTACTGGAATAATTTTAACAGTTGTCGAGCGAGGGGCTTAGAAATTAAAGCGGTCTGAATTTGGGTGCAGTTTTTTTATCTCACCCTGTATACCCTCTGGATACATATGTCGTCTTATAAAACAATCTATAGCATATCCTCTACTGGTACCACTGTATCAGATAATTTTATGGCTATAAAAATTACCTTTAATATATCCTAACGTGCTAAACAATAGTGTATTGCAATACCAACCTTATTAGGTATATCATTACGGTACGGAAAATAATATGAAAACCATTTGAGCCAGTAAAAATTTCCAATAATAGAAAATATTTATGTTGTGTGCAATACGGCATCATAAAGGCAGACCATCATATTTTCATAGCTCATAACCATAATATTTTCATAGCTTATGGTATACAAAACATACGCACAAACATGCATATTTTTGTATTGGTGAGTCAGAGATATAATATGAAATTTGATGATTCAAAAATATTTACAATGGACAATATTAAATACACATTTCGATTGTATAGTCCTTAAACTTTAAGCTATTAAATTTAAAGATGTCAAATCGAAGATAAGTTAGATGGGAAAAAGTTTTATACCCCCCAACAATTGAACCAAATAGGAGACTTTATTTTAACTAGTTTTACTATTAATATACCCTCCATAGTATGGTGGAGGGTATAAAAATTTAAGGAAATTACATATTTTTTATTATAAATTTAACTTACCTGGTATTGGACCGCATACTCTGGGTATTATTTCTAATATTGCTGAACATGAGGGATCTTCAAAACATAATTGACGGGCTAATATACAATTTAATATTGCCGAAGCGACTTTTATATTAGAACCTGTAATGGAAAAATACAAAAAAACGTTTTAGTTAATAAATATAAATTAACTTACTTAGTAAATCTCATCGGAAAGGTTTAAAAAGGCAATTGGGTAACAAGATAGGAGTATTATCCAAATTTATATAAAAAATAAAAATAATAATTTTTGAAAACTATGAATAATGCCCGTTGGCTATTGCATTTTATTCCAAGGAAATTTTGTTTTGTGTACACAATTAAAAACATTGCGCCTAAAATGCTGCTGCATTATTTACAACGTATGTACATTGTTCTGTGTAAGGCCGTATTTACATAAAACAGCAACAAATGAGACAAAATTCAATTTTGTCAATTATTAGGGAGAAATTTCAGCAGATTATGAAAGTAGAGCTAAAAAAACTTTATTGGTGTTTTGAAAGTTTACATCGAAAAGTAAAAAAATGGAGGGGAAGAGTTTTCGCTTCTTCGAAACATGAAAATTTTCGAATTAAGATTCCTGAATTTCAGCAATATTGAAGTGAAAATTATAGGGAGTATATTGGTCTTAACCTTCAAGCGGACTAAAAAAGAGGCCTTATTGATCCTTCTTTAAAAAAATGATTACCAACTTCCTTTAAACGATGAAAAATTATGAAATACAGAGGTAAAAAAATTGCAACCAACTTCAGACTGGTGTCATTTCTAAGCCACTCGTCCGACAGCTGTTAAAATTATTCCAGTGACAGCTCATTATATTGTTTACAAGCGTACAAGGATTTTGGTGAGAATTTTCCAGAAACAAAGGTATTTGTGATGGAATTCAAGCGTGATGGTGTGATTTCTCTATATTTGGATAGAAAAACAATAGGTGGCTATCGTTAGAGCATTTCAGCATTTAAATGTTAATAAATCTTTTGTGTCTCGTAAAGTCCCTCGTTACCGTGTTACTGGTAGCGTAGCCCGACGTCAAGGAAGTGGACGGAAGAAAACAGAAACATCAGAAAAGTAAAGAAGCAACTTGATCGAAACCCGCGTCGCATTGGCCGAAAAATGGATTGTGATCTGAACATATCGAAATATTCCATTCGGCAAATATTGAAAAATGAGCTCGGGGTAAAGTCATTGAAATTCCAAAAAGTGCAAGAACTTACTCCGCCGGCCATGGTGATGATGTGGGTTGCCATAACAGCCGATGGTCGCTCTCCGCTCGTATTAATCGACAGTGGCATTCGAAAAAAAAATGCTGAACATTATCGCGAAAATATTCTGGAGAGTGTATTAATGGCTTGTGCACGCAAACATTTTGATCGCAGACCTTTAACATTCCAAGTTTGAAGGCCATAATTCGTGTCAATGGGGACCAATTTAAACAAATCTAAACTTATTCTAAAATTTAATGCTATTTCCGCAATTTTTGCTCTCATTCAATAAAATTAAAAAAAATAAAATAAAAATTTTGGCATTTGACCTTGTTGCAGTTTTTTTTTATCTCAGCCTGTATTTATAATCAAACTTCTTTTGTTCAGAGAGTAATTCCTGACTTTTACACGATATGAAGTATAACACTTTTACATGTTTCAATACCCCATGACCTACCCCAAGTGGAAAATCCTTTCAAGTAAATATTCTTCGCACTGATAACAATATGTTAGTGGATGGACCAACAGTGATTTTATTTTTCGTTTGGGGTGGAAGAATGTAACAGAAAATGTGACAGTGTAACAAAATTTTTAGACCCTATTTTGGAATTAGAAAAAGGCAAGAAACAGACTGTACTATCAACAAAATTCTGTCATAATTCTTCTAAAGATTTGGGTATTTCAATATCTTTCTCGGCGAGTTATATTTCGTAAAAATGCCAACTGTACTCTCACTAATAATCTAAAAGGGTTCTATCAAAAACACCTTTGTAGATGTCTGTAAAATAGGAATATCAAAATTAATAGTAACTAGTAATACTTGGAGGTCATTGAGACTTTCTAAAATTAATCATGAATATTGTTTTAGGAACTCTGCAAATACTCGACAATATATACCAAGATTGAAAAATTTGAACCGAAGTGTCTTCAAAAATTTTACAACTTTTTGCCATATAACATAAAATACATTAAAACCCCTTAACTCGTAATAATACCTCTAGCCTTCACTGTACCACCACATTTAACTAGAAATTATAAAAAAGGCAAGGAAGAGTTTTGCATTGTACATGTATGATGGCCCCTGTGTAAAACGAATAAATGTATGTAAATGTGTGTGCATTGCTTTTTTTAAAAAATGGCGGTCGTTGGCTCTTTTTTACTAGTATGGGTAATGACAACCAACGACGGTAGGCAGGCAGCTTCTACAAATGATAAAATATGATTTTTAACATATTTTGCATTAGAAGGTAAAAAACATTACAAACTTGATTTTCTTACAATAAAAGCTACTTTGTCACAGATCGTTTAAATCACTTGCAAACACCAATACAACAGACGCCAAACATACACAGCCGCCAACATCAAAAACCGAAGATACACATTTTCAATTTATGCGATGCTGTATTTTATTTCTCAGCAATATTTAAGTTTTTGTTGTTAATAAAGTTCAATGGAACACAAACCTTTTCTGCTATGCTTTTAACTATGATTTCCTTAGGTATTTTCTTTATTTTGATTGACAATAGACAAACGGTTTTAATTTATCACTTTTAATTTAATTTGTGAGAGAATGCACAACACACAACACCGACAAACAGAGCAAGCACAACAAATAAAAAAGTAACGAATTCTTCTTCCTTTTTTGTTATGTTACTCACCTAGAATAGATAACACTTAAGGCGAAGCCGAAAATAAATCGGGCGTTTTTACATTAAACGCACTGTTGTATTTTACAGAGAAAAATGTGGCAGTATTTCTCAAACTGTAAATATTTTATTTTTTGTTTATTTTTAAATAGTAGATGTACGCTCGTTCCAGAACTGCAAGAATATAAAACTTTTTACTACGATAGCCGACTTTTATAATATATAAAAAAATTGCTAAACTAGTAAAACAGTTTATTCCTTTGCTAATTTGTATATGGAAACAAGAAAAGTTAACATCAAAGGACATAGGAAAAAACGCAACTCTGTGCTAGAGTCTTAAGGGGAAGTACATAAAGAGCTTTTTTTGACTGGCTTAAGTCTCAATCCAAGTATAAGGTCCCCCTTCCAGCTCATCTGATTACCAAAACAACCAGTGAATTAAATTTGAATTCGCTGCAACCAAAACAAATTTCAAAACTATGGTACAGGTAGTCGCATCGCATAGTTGCTGGCACAATGAACTGTCAAACCAATTTTTAAATTAAAAATTTTAAATGAAAAATTATTCAAATTTCTAAAAATTCTTGAAAAATGCATATCATAACAACCTCTGATTGGTGTTGTATAAGAAAACTTATAAAAATATGCTTATTTTTGATGCATCACCTTTATTCTTCTATTTCAAAAGATGTCAGCAGATGATTTAACCAAGTCAGAAAAGCATTTTATGTATTCTCACTTTAATGCTAGGAACACAATTGGAGCGAACGACGAATTTCGCCCTACGCGGCGACAAAATGAGCCGCGAAAATTCGTCGTATGGAACACAATACCGACGAAATTATAAAACAGCTGATGAAGTTGTTTACTTTTTGCTCATTTGTTGACTACAATGAAAATTATACAAGAACTCATAATTCTTTATAATTTCAGTTATGTCCATCTTTTCTATTATAAATTCACTGATATCCATCTTCACTCAGGCGCAAGTGCACAAATAAATAAACAAATTATTTATGTTTTTTTTATACGAATAACAGATAGTAGAGTGACCATAACAAATTTTTAAGTAAAAAGTAACTTTATTTACTAAAACACATAAAATTCGTACAAGTATGGCCACCTTGTACTGTTTTGTCGCCGTTCGCCGGCGTATGAAATAGAAATAAAGCCAATTGAGTTCGCGGCGACCGACGAAATTTTCGCCGGCGCCGTGATTGTGTGCACTTCCATATACACATATGGTTTTTATTTTTGACGACGAACATACGCCGCGAAAAAATTCGTCGTTCGCTCCAATTGTGTTCCTAGCATAAGAGAAATAACAGAATCTGGGATGAAAGAGTGGTACAAAAAAATGGATTCGCACTTGAAAAGTTATTAGTTAAATTAATAGTGCATCGGCAAACCATTTATTTATTTTTTTAGAATAGATAGTTCCACTCATGGTACAATAAGGAAGTAGAACAGCTTCGTAAAACTACAGAATACAGCCCTGAGGCAATGCCCGCTTCCTGTCAGACTCATTCAAAATTGTATAAAAAATGTTGTTTTCATTTTTTTCATATATTTTTAGATTTTTAAAATGAGTTAAATAGCGCGAAAAATGAATGAAATGCCTGGATTTTCTCTAAATAATATTATCCAAACTGTTCGAGCGTTCAATGTCATGGCTAAACTGGTTAATAGCTTCATGGTTCCGCTTACGTGGAGTTACTAAGTCTGGTTCTGCATCAATACTTTATATTGATTTTCTTCAATAACCCGATTGCTATATTTTTCACATTTACATCCAAAAGTGTTGGCAACGACCGGTAAACTTCCAACAACTCAAAAACATTTTTTTCTCACAGGGAAAGTCCATTATTGTAGAAACCTTTTTACAACCTTGCATTTTTTGAAATCTTTTGTGAGGGCAATTTTCTGGCAATTGCTTTTGTGTTTTTATTTTTATACGAAAATATAAATAATAGTGACATAAAAGGCAATTATGAAGAAATCATCTCTAGTTGGTAGACGAACTGTACATCCCTAGCTCAAATAGCCGGAGGCTCAACTAGTTCTGCGGTCATTTAATGAATGCTTCCAGCTGGAAAGTCTCATGAATAGTCGAGTAATCGGTTTTCACCCAAGTCCATAGTCGAGTTCGAGTTTCAGAACTTTGAGTACTAAAAGTCGATTAATCGAAAGTCGACTTACCTATCCCTAGGGTATTAATAAGAATCTATTTTTTGTGGTATATTTTTTGATTTTAACAAGAGAATTCGTCAAAATCAAGGTAATATTTTTGATAAGTTGTTAATTTAAAGTCACTATTTTATATTAAAATAAATATTTTCTTTTTTATCATTTTCTTCTGGGCCACTTCGAATGAAAACATTGGCACCTGGTTTTTTTTCGCAAAAAACCTCACCTATAATACGACACAAAAACAACGTTGTTGGCTGACGAATCTATTTTTACAACAACAACACCAATAATAATATGCATGTAAATGTTATTTACCGGGTCTGTTGGTTGGCTGGCACACTGGTTGGTCTTTACATCCACCTCCCATATGGTGTTGCTGCCGCTGCGCTGTCCATTCATGATTATTGGTGTATTTTTTGGTGGTGTGCTGCTATGCTGCTGTGTTCATTAACAAAAACCGGGTTACTTTAATAACTGACTCCACCGTCATCATTATTGCTCCGTATGCAATGTTTGGGCGTATTTTGTCTGCTTGATTGTCTCATGGCTTCAACATATGAATAATATTTGTCCGACGTCGCTATTCGGTGTCCGTTTAACAGTCATTTACAACCCACGCATTCATTTATTATCTTACTACTTCTAATTTTTAATTTTCTGTGTGTCACACGCTATCGTAGACGCGAGAGGTACGTCTTCGAAGACACATCCAGTGATTGAAAGCATTTGATTTAAGAGCACCAGTACTAAGTTCCGCCCTCACCGTTCTGTAACAATGGCCAATGTCTTGGAAAATCAATTAGCTGCCGTTGCTTCGGTAATAGAAAAGCAATTGGACGATCAATTGGATCGTTTGGAAAATTTAGACACTGACGATTTGAAGGCCATTCGTGAGCAACGTATGAAAGAAATGAGAGAATTAAACCAAAAGAAACAGGAGTGGCTGAAAAATGTAAGTACCTATTTGAATGTTGGAGATAATATCCTATTTATTGGCTGAGGATATCGTTTTCGGTGAATCATGAAACGTGTTTTTTAGCTATTTTCATGACTCATCTTAGTAATTGTTGTATGGTAAATGTTGGATACCGTATTTCCTCCCCTTTAGTTTTTATAGCGCATCTCCTAACACTTTTACAAAATATGAAGTATAAAGGGAGATTTTGACTTGGATTGGAAACGGTAGCTTAAACAAATAGGTTAATATGCCAACGTTTGGAAAATTCTATTGAAAACTTTGGCTAGTACCATCAAAAACCCGATTCTTTTCAAATTATTTTTTTTCCATCACTTTTTATATCTCCAGTTTAAATATTTGATTTATTTATAATTTTGTACAATCAATTTAACGGAGATTCACATTTTTGTACTAAAAATATCGTCTACCGTACAATGCAACACTGTGTAGTGATCGTAAATAAAATCTCTCAGTGAGAGTGAGAGAGAGAGAGAGAGAAATCACAATTGACAGCAACAGCTGTTTATAAAAAAAGTCTATCGAAAAATTATTTTCAACAACACAAAAATAAACAAGGATAAATCTACAATTTCCTATTAAATTACAAAAGTAAACATGGAATTGGATCCGGATATTATTAAAGAATTTGAAAATCTTGAAGTTACTGCCAAGAAACCAAGTGAAGAAGAAATAAAAGCATTTGATGAAAATGCACCACTTAAAGTCAGCAACACTGGCCGGGGAGGTGTTGCTGCCGCTGCTAATAAGGCAAATTCTCCAAATGGAAAACCAAACACTAATCATCCAACATATTCAACAATACCGAAATTTTTCCATGCTCCACCGGCTCCCACCGATACCCTAAGGCAAAATCTACGCAAAGAAGCCCACTCATTGTTCTTGCAAAAACGTTCACAAGAGCTGTTGGACAATGAGGAACTGAATACCTTGTGGTCCATACTGGAGAAACATTGTACACAGGTGACGCCAATGGGCCAGCAATTGATTGGCTATGATGACTATTTGAAAGTAATGCAAGCTGTTAGTGCCAAATGCCGCAAATATCTAACTGCTCGGCTGTTTGCCAAATTACAATGTCATTCCGGTTATCCGGGGAAAGTTGAAATTGTTTCCATTTTCAATTATACAATGCGTAAAGTGTGGCTAACACAGGGACGCATTGGCCTCTCGTTCTACGACGATGTGGGTCAAGGTTATTTGCGAGAAATCGATATGGAAAATTACATTATTGACATCATACCCACATTGGCACAAATCAGTGGTTGTGTTCAGCCCTCGTTTCAGAGTTTCTATGTCTGTACGGTGGTGAAGAAATTCTTTTTCTTTTTGGATCCCTTACACACAGGACGCATACGGATTCGTGATATATTGGCATCGGGTCTTTTGACTGAACTATTGGAATTACGTGACGAGGAATCATCGAAAGAATCTCAAGAACATAATTGGTTTTCAATGCCATCCGTGTTGACGGTCTATGGCAATTATTTGAATTTGGACAAGGATCACAATGGCATGTTGAGTAAAAAGGAATTGGCCGCTTATGGTTCGGGCACGCTAACTTCAGTGTTTTTGGATCGTGTTTTTGACGAGTGTCGCACATTTGATGGTGAAATGGATTATAAGACATTTCTTGACTTCGTCTTGGCCTTGGACAATCGCCATGAACCCCAATCGCTGCACTATTTGTTTCGCATTTTAGATGTCCAGCACAAGGGATATTTGACGGCCCAAACTTTGCATTATTTTTTTAAGGGTATTCAAGAACAAATACGTGCCGTCAATGCGGAATCTGTAAATTTTGAAGATTTAAAAGATGAAATCTTCGATATGGTAAAATCAAAGGATCCGTATAAAATCACGCTGCAGGATCTAATTAATTGGTAAGTGTGTGGGGGAGTTTGTGTCTAGATTGACTGATTTATATTTTAAATCTGCATAACAATTCACATAAATATAACAGGTCTAAAATTTCTAGCATCGTAATAGACTAGCATCCATAATCAAAATAGACAAGCAACCAATTTGTCTGTTTTATTCATAGCCTTCATGGAAATAAACTGACCATTTTGTATGTAGTTAATTAATTTACCATCCATTTCTGGAATGTACACACGTGATTAAGTCACTTAAGCCTAGCTGGCGATCTAATAATAAAAGACCATAGATGACCAAATTTTTTAATTTTCCATTTATCCTCATACAATTTTGAACAATAGCGAATTTATTGTCTATGAGGATATTGACTTAATTGTTCAATTATTTACTCTGATCCAGTACACACTCAGTGACTGCTGGGACCTATCCATAAAGGACCTCTTACAAATACATTGTGTCATCTTTGTGTTAAGTCCTTACTTGAAATCTAAAGCTTATAAGGGGTTTCACTTACACATTAACTAATAGACTTGTTGTAGTGATATTTTCATGTAACAGTCAAGGATCCAAACAAATTTGCCGTCAAGGATGATTATTCGAAACATCGAATACCATGTTGAGAAATACTAGTTTTTCAAAGTTCCTCACTTTTATCTTCCTTGTAAAATGATATATTTCCCTGTTATTAGGTTTATGACAGTTCTGTTGAGTAAAGCCATTTTAGTCAGACCCTCGAGTCAGTTTATATTTATTCTATCAAAAACTGCGTTTTATTCATCTTTAACTATCGATTTGAAGCCATATGGACCTAGTTATCCGGCCTGAACTCTTTAGTCCAGAAAATTTTTAATTATACCGAAAACATTACTACAAACGTACTAAACAATTAGAGGCTATTATTATTTTAATTCTAAATCTACAAACTAAATATTTGGCGAAGTTGGATCCTGAATCCCTGAACGTACCTGAAAATAAAAGATTCTAAACTAGGCGGTTAGTCTGCCAACGTTGGTGCTACACAATTGAAAACATAAATTCTCCCAGAATGCCGCACTAAGAACCGCAACCGGGTGACACCTCGTAACACCTATCGACCATATACATGAGAAAGATAAAATCCTGTCGATGCTATACTTGCTTGGGTGTTACAAACACAGCCAAGGTATGTAAGGAAAGACCTTCATAATTTAAAGAAAGAGAGTGAGTCATACAGAGGTATAATAAAGAGCCTCTGAAGCGGTTACAGATGTTGTAGAGAAATTTAAATTCAATATATCCTCGGAGATAATCGTCTTTCATCGCAGCTGAAGGACGAAAGCTGCATCCACAAAATAGAGCGTCCACGGGGTCCACCCCCATACAATGAAGCTGAAAAACGTCGGCTGAGTAGACAAACCAGGGTAGTTTCGGCGCAATTACGTTCAGAATGGGCTGTCGTATTTATTCTTAGTTGGCACAAATTGAAAAAACAACGTACAAAGAGAGAGATAGAGATAGGTATAATTAAGAGCCTCTAGACCAACATACCTTTCAAGGAGGACTGAATAGTATTCACTCTGACGCGGTTACAGATGTTGAGAGAAATGCAAATTCAATATGTCCCCGGAGATAATCGTATTTCATCGAAATCTGCATCCACAAGCCAGACCGTCCACAGAGTTCACCGCCAATACATTGCAACTGAAGAAAGTCGGCTGACTTGACAAACCAGGTAGTTTCGGCGCAATTACGTTCAAAATATGCAGTCGTCTTTATTCGTAGTTGACACAAATTGACGAAGATGTGCACAACGTGTGCCCAACGTGTGATACAGGCCCGCACAATAGGATACACCTTTGCTCTCCCAAACCTATCCCACTAACTCCAGAAGACCTCTGGTCGCAAACCGTAAAAGTAGCAAAATTGTTGAGCCCGGAGTTAGAATCATTTGCAACCACAACAACAAACCAGAGATGTTTTGTCACAACTAGTTCTGCGTGATTGAGCCGCCTCAATCGAACTGACAGCAGTGCGCAGAAAACCTGCCCAGTGTATGGTACAGATCCACATGGCACACTGCACCATTCTGTTTAGCTTAGAGTTAGAAGCAGAACAGAGATTAGAGGAAATCGGAGCAGTACAAGCTGCTACACTTTTCGTTCTTTTTGAACTTGGTGTTAAAAGCAAAGCTAGATTACAGGAAATAAGAGGGAGCAGGGCTTTAACCAACCTGCTTGTGTTAGAAAACTTCACGTTATGAGAATTCGTTCAAAGGGGAGACAATTCTCGTTTTAACACATTTATAAGTATTATATAAATATTTGTTCTTTTTTATTTTAAATGTCTTATAGTTCATAGACCTATGTATGGTATTAACATTTTAAAAATGTATGAACAAAAGTATTTTTTAATTTCTTTTATTTAATTTATGTATTTAATTCTATATATGTATCCTTAATTCTACTAAAACCATTAAATTAATTTTATTTATAATTTCTTCCTTTAAATTAAAATGTCAAAATTTAAATCGTGAAATGCATTCCCATGATATCTACATTTATTCCACACATTATCCCCTCAATTTTGTTTTTTAATTTAATACTAAAGTACACACACACGCACACAACTTACCAGCCACTCCCACCGCCAATCTTTCTCCCTGCATTTGTTGGAATCTCATTATTGTATTTAATGATGTTTAAATTAATTTGCTTACGTATTTAAAAATTATTTTATTATTTTACATGCGCACACACACACACGTACATTACACACACTCATGGCCCACAGATTTTTAATATTTATGATGCATTTAACATTAACATATTGACCTCATTTAACAAATCTATACATGTCTATGTAGATACATACCGAACAGCAAGAAGAAGTATGTCTGTATGATAAGTTATATGCTGTTTTTTTGCGCTCGCTTCGTATTCTATACAAAAATTGGTATTCTGTTTAACTTTTATTACATTCCACATTTCATATATATTTATACATGTATTCCTCCTTACTGAAAATGCTTGCTTCCCCCACCATGCTATGATGTTTGTTGTTCGATTCGCCACTTTAGTAGTAGTATGACGCACATATCCACTGTATCCTTGTGCGAAGTAGTGGCATGTATGTTGCCATTATTAACATTACACATTACGCTGTTATATATGTACATAGGTGCATTTATGTTTGTATGTATGTGCTGATATTTGATTCATACCTATAATAACCATGGCTGAACTTGTCTCTATATACAAGTGTATATATACATATATATTTCCTTACTAACCCACTTGTAAGTTTCAACTAAAGAAAAATACGAGGAGCGTATTTTTTCGTAAGGACGACGAATCGAAGCATACATACATTTGTATTTCAAATTGATGTAGATTGGTTTTTAAACCTTTTAATATTATATTTTTCATTTGAATTAACTTCGTCCTTTCATCCTTTAAAATAAGCTTCTTCCTAATATAATCAATTTTGATTGACGATTTGGCTTTTAGTTATTTTCAATAGGGGGAAAAACTCTATGTTAAGTTTTTAAATTCAGTACAGTACATTTACAAATATGAAATATTAACCCAAATTGGTTGGATTTTTGCCTATTCAACCGAATTTTTCCATTTGATTAAATTAAAATTGGTTCCCATACAGGGTGAGATGAAAAAACTGCATCCAACTTCAGACTGCTGTCATTTCTAAGCCTTTATTCTTTACATTTGGCTGGAAAACCACAAGTGGTTATCGTTAGAGCACTCCAACATTGTGATACTGGTAGCGTAGCCCAACGTCAAGGAAGTGGACGAAAGAAAACAGAAAGATCAGCAAAAAAGGTTCAAAAATTAAAGAAGCGACTTGATCGAAACCCGCGCCGCAATGCCCGAAAAATGGCTCGTGAGCTGAACATATCGCAATATTACTTTCGGCAAATACTGAAAAATGAGCTCAGTGTAAAGTCATTGAAATTCCAAAAAGGGCAAGAATTTACACCGCAACAGAAAGAAAATAGACTCAAAAGAGCTAAAGAGTTGCTTCGCTTGACCGAAAGTGGTGAACTGCCGATTTAGGTTTTCTCCGATAAAAAAAAAAAAAATACGTTGTCCAAAACAGCCGATGGTCTCTCTCCGTTCGCATTAATCGACCGTGGCATCAGAATAAAAGCCGAATATTATTGCGAAAATATTTGGGAGGGTGTATTAAAGCCTTGGTCACGCAAACATTTTAGCCGCAGACCTTGGACATTCCAGCAGGACTTAGCACGCGCCACCCAAGAATGGTTACAAAATGTGGTTCCTCTCTTCATTTCCAGCGCACAATGGCCACCAGAATCTCCGGATGCCAATCCGTTGGACTATTGTGTCTAGAGTATTTTGGAAAGCAAGGTTGGCACTAAAAAATACCAAAGTGTCGATCACCTCAAACAAGCGCTTCGCTAATTCGTGCCAAAGGTGACCAATTCGAACATAGCTAAACTTATTCTAAAATTTGATGCTATTTCCGACATTTTTTGCTTTCATTCAATAAAATTAAAAAAGGGTAAAAATTATGACGTTTGACTTTGTTGTTTATTAACTACTACTACTGTTTATTAACTACGCTCTTCTAAATAGGCCCCGTCCGACCTTTGACTTTTTTTTACTGGATAATTATTGCAAAATTGATCGTGTTCTGTCTGTATATCGCTTTCGTAATGATACATAGAAACAGACCCTGATACGTTAGTAACTTAGCCTGCTGAACAAAAAATTCAGTATATTTTTTATAATAACAATTATACTGAGGTTTAATATAAGTCAACCCTCTTGCATTTGTTAATAGGTTTAACTCAAATCTATTTGCAATATTTAAAAAGCCATCCACCCACCCACCAATGCGAATTTCTATACATTATCACACCACCCTTAAATTTAAATGAATAAAAAGTTTCATTCTCATATCTATAAAACATAAACTGAACTTTGTGTATATGATCCGAACTCTGAATGTATGCAGTGGGTAGGTACATAGCTCTAGGTATGAAAGGTTTGTTTGGGTTTTTTCTTCGCCTCTTCGATTATGTTTGCCATTACATTAACATGGACTTAAAACACACACACACACAAGTGCACATACAGTTATACTTTTGCACATGTAATGTACGTTTCATGTTTCTTTTCAATAATAATTACGTGGATGATGATGATGAGTCTCATAATCATCATCATCATCACATATCTCACTTATCGTTCCAGTGGAGCACGTGAATTTAATTTACCAGATATTAATTAAAATCACACATATTGAATATGCATGTGCAGCGCTGTGCTACGCTGCCACTACATCTGTTTTGTAAAGATTGTTGCAGCAGCAGATTTGCTGAAATTTATTCTCGCGGGAACATTGCTTTGTTTTTTGTCTGTGGCATGGTTATTTTATTTCAAAAGTTTCACATTTCCTTTTCATTTTCAATTTCCCATTCTATTTTTATTATTTTTTCTTTTTTTTGTAATTTGTATTCTCTTTTGTTCTCATTGCAGTGGCCAAGCTGAAACTGTTGTCTCCATCCTAATTGAATTTCACAAATTCTGGGCTTATGAAAATCGTGAAGAAGGTTCACATAATGTTTAATATTAAATTACGGCACACTATTTTTCACATACCCAGCATACAAAGGATTGGGTTGCACCAGTGGGTGCACTAGGGTGTGTGTGTGTGGAGTCTAACAAAGTTCTCTTAATTAAGTTATTATTTTAGTTTTCTTTCAAGCGCCGAAACGAACAAAGGTAAAGTTTCTTTTTTGGAAGGATAGAAGAAAGTAGGGAATAATTATATTTTAATGTAATGCAAGAATTTAATTATATAATTTATATCAATTTACATTATGCTGTACTTAGACATTTTGTATGATTTTTAATCTTAAATTATTTTTTCTTTATATCTGTTTTCATTGTAAGTATTAACATTCCAACTATTTCCTTAAATAATTTGCACATTAATGGAAAGCTATTTATGTACTTAACATAGTCAGATATAATACAAACCATAAATTGTTCTTTAGACTTTAAGGTGTTTTATTTTAAATAAATAAATAAATGCTGGTAAATATTAAGAACCAAGACGATTGTTTATAGTTCACCTAAGGCATAGGATATTTTATGGACAAGATGTAATTCTATTTTTTTTTTTTAAGAAAATTGATTAATATTTATGCATTTTCCTATCGACGGAAAATTTAGTTAGTTGGAAGTTTTTCATTCGTGAGATATATCAGAAATGTAATGTTTCGAATTTGATATACTTGAGGTCTTACCCAAGACAGTTATGTTAAACTTAAATAAAATTGTAAGAAAACAATAAATATTGTTTAAAAAATATTTTACCTATTATACCCAGAAATTGCAGATGCTCCTCAGATGTTCACTGTGCAAGAAAATTCAATTTTTTCAGGAAAGCCCTATTGAATTAAAAAACTAGAAATTAAAATGAAAGACAGCTGTATCGGCGTTTTGAAAGTTTTCATCGCAAAGTAACCTAAATAGAGGAGACAGTTCCCCCCTCTTCAACACTTCTGGAAATTTTCGGATTAAGATTCCTCGAAATATGTGTATTTTAGGTATATAGGGTTTTCGGCAATACTATAGATGAAAATACAAGGAATATTCTGGTCGACAATTGTAACCCTCGAGCGCGTCAATAAAGTGGTCTTGTGGGTCCTTTTTATACCCTACAACACTATGTATTGGGGGTATTATAAGTTTGATTGGGCCAAAAATTATGTAATAACCAGCGACAGCATGTACCGGAATTATTTTAAATTTCATATTTAAAGTTCGTAATGGGTACTACAGCCCATGACAAAAATGTTTGTATGCAGGTCCACGTTTTTATATAGCCCCATATAACGGTACCTCCCGATATTTGATATTTTCATGATATCAGCGACATTATTTACCGGAATTATTTGAAGTTCGTATAGAGTACTACAGCCTATGACAAACATTTCTGTACAAGGTCCACGTCTTCGTATAGCACCTATATAACGATAGCTCCCGATATTCGGTAGTTTAATGATTTCAGCAACATTACTCGCCGGAATCGTTTCAAATTTCGTATTGAGAGATCTTAATGGTTACTACAACCTATGGAAACAAATTTCGTATGCAGGTCCACGTCTTCGTATAGCCTCTGTATAACGGAAACTCCCGATATTCGGTATTTTCATGGTTTTAGTGACACTATTTACCAGAATTATTTCAAATTTCATATTTGAAGTTCGTAATGGGTGTTACAACCTATGACAAAAATGATTGTATGCAGGTCCACTTCTTCGTATAGCCCCCATATGACGTACCTCTATGACCTCTCAATACTTTTTATTTTGTGCGACGTTATTCACCGGAATTGTAACAAATTTCGTAATGAATACTAAAGCCTATGACAAAAAAATGTATGTTGGTTCACGTTTTCGTATATCCCCCATACAACAGTACATCCCGATATTCGGTATTTTGATGATTTTAGCGATATTATTCAACGGAATTGTTTCAAATTTGGTATTTGAAGTTCGTAATGGGTACTACAGCCTATGACAAATTATTTCGTAAGCAGGTTCACGTCTTCGTATAGTCTCCATATAACAGTTTTCAATTAATTGGTAGTTTCCCGAAGTTTTTTGAAATTTTTCAAGTTCCCTCCAAATGGTGGAGGGTATTAAAATTTTGCTTCAGATTGGTTTATTTGATGGTGCGTAGAATACTTTTTAAGTACCAGATTGGTTTTTAAGTTTTTTTTACCCTTTTTTAATATAAGAGCCATATATATAATATTAATATACCAATATACTAATATTCAGCTAAATCGAATGCGTCTGCCGACATTTTTATACCCTCCACCTTGGAAAGGAGGGTATATTAACTTTGTCATTCCGTTTGTCTTAGACCCCATAAAGTATATATATTCATAATCAGCATAAAATTCTAAGTCGATTTAACGATGTCCGTCTGTCAGTCTGTCTGTCCGTCTGTCTGTTGAAATCACGATACAACCCACATTATTTGACGTAGAGGGCCAACATTTAGCAGAGCTATTTGCATTGTGTCTAGGATGGTTGGTATTGAAAATGAGATATATCGGTCCACGTTCTGGTATAGTCCCCACATAACGGTACCTTCCGATATTCGGTATTTTGATGATTTATGCCACATTTTTTCACGGATTTGTCTGAAAATTGGTATTTGTAGGTCATAACGGGTCCCTGAGCGTGTGGCAAAACATTGCATGTATAGGTCCACGTTGTGGTATAGCCCCCATATAAAGGTACCTCCCGATATTCGGTATTTTATTTTTTTTGCCACATTTTTTCACGGATTTGTCTAAAAATTGGTATATGTGGGTCATAATGGTTTCCAGCTCCGGTGGCGAAACATTGCATGTATGGGCCCATGATTTGGTATAGCCCCCATATAACGGTACCTCCCGATATTCGGTATTTTGATGGTTTTTGCCACATTTGTTCACTGATTTGTCTATAAATTGGTATTTGTGGGTCATAATGGGTCCCTGAGCGTGTGGCAAAACATTGCATGTGTAGGTCCACGTTTTGGTAAAGCCCCCTTATAACGGTACCTCCCGATATTCGGTAATTGGATGATTTTTGCCACATTTTTTCACGGATTTGTCTGAAAATTGGTATTTGTTGGTCATAATGGGTTCCAGCTTCGGTGGCGAAATATTGCATGCATGGGTCCATGATTTGATATAGCCCCCATATAACGGTACCTCCCGATATTCGGTATTTTGGTGGTTTTTGCCACATTTTATCACTGATTTGTCTAAAAATTGGTATTTGTGGGTAATAATGGGTTCTAGTTCGTGTGGCAAAACATTGTAATTATAGGTCCACTTTTTGGTGTAGCCCCCATATAACGGTACCTCCCGATATTCGGAATTTTAATGGTTTTTGCCACATTTCTTCTAATGTTTCTTTTACCCTAAGGTGGAGGGTATTAAAAGTTTGGCCCGGCCGAAATTAATGTTTTTTTACTTGTTATATAATAAAATACCACCGGGAAAAATTAATATTTCTTTTAAATATATTAAGCCCGTATTCAAAATTTTCCCATTCAATACTTAAATTTTACTTCAGTGGTTTCCTTAACATTCAAAGATATTTCCTCTTAGTAGTTATCTGCTCCATTGTTATTTGTCGTTTCATTTCCAATTACGAGAGAAATACGATTTTCATGTTTGCCGTCATTGTAGCTTGACATCATCGTTACCGTTGCCATAATTTGTAATGAATCCCAATTGTTTTTTATTACACAGCTCAGTTCATGTGTCTTCAAATTGCGCATTTGCTACAAAGAAGTGCATTATTCCACACTCCATCTTATTATGTCTTTTTTGTTTTTGTCTTTGCTTTTCGTTTCTTCTCTTTTTATTATTTTTATCGTCTTATTCAAATAAAGTTGATTGGATTTAAAGTAATTTGCTGTGAAATAGTTTCTTTTTTTTTCTTTTTTAGTTTCTTCTCTCGAATAATTCAATAATAGTTTGGGTGGATTGAGATAACGGAAAGTGAGAGAGCGGGTGATGGTGAGAGCATCTAAGGAAACGATTATTTGACACATATCTATCTATGTTTACGTGTTTGTTTAATTTGAGGGGAATTGAAAAAGTTGTGTGCTTTAAAGAGGACATCCCATTCCATGTTTTAAAGAATTGGAATTGCATTATCCACATGGACATGCATGCCTGCCCTATGGCCTCTCATTTTTTGGCATTTAGTTTCCATTGAAAACAATCACACGTAATGTTCCGCCCCAAAAGAGGTCATGCTGAACGATTTCATTATGAAAGTGCACTTCATTGATTAATTTCTTCTTCAAACTCATTTTCCATAGAGAACAAATGGAAAAATCCCAGCTAAAATTTCTCTCCTAGCTTAATATTCCCGTGACTGTGGCATTTTCAGTTGGCATATGCCGGCTTACCACTCACTATTCCATGATTATGGTCGTTGCCAGAGAGGCGTTTAAAAACCATTGTAGCCAGCCCATGTTGCCTATCTATCATTTGCTGTGAATTCAGACATGGATATTTTACCAACATTTGTTTCTTTCTTTTGGAAAAAACTTTCAAAAATGCAAAGCGACTACAGAAACTTTCTCAATGCATTAACCAACACCGAGACATTATGGATAGCGGTCATGATGGAGCAAAAGCTTGCCCCTAGTGCAAAACTAAAAAATCTCCTGCAGTTACCAACCGAATGGAGAATGAAGTCACTCATGTTAATACAGGGAACTGGAATCGAAACAGTAACGAGCGTGTTAACACACACACATACCAACAACCACAATTGCAAACGACCGTGTTGTAAATTTAAATGAAAATCCTCCACAAAAACAACAAGAAAGGCGAGAACATGAACTAGCCATCGTCCAATGACGTTACTTGTGATGTGTGGTGGTGGCAAAGGGAAAATGAAATATTTCACATTTGCATGAATTTGTTTGGAGAAAATAATCGAAAAATTTCCATTCCAAAGGCCAGAATGGCAAAACTTTAGCAAGAAAATGATGAAATAGTGAAATTTGGTTAAAGTAATTTGAAGTTGATGTTTCGTTCGCGGCTAAGTCAAGGTTTCCGGTTGGAAACGCAAAGTTAAAATTATAATAGGTATACTTGAAAAGTGGGGCCTTGGAATAGCAAAATACACATTTATGTAGATGTAGGTGATGATTCCATTAAAGAACCTCGTTCATAAGATAAACCAAAATACCAAAAATCAGGAAGTTTCAATAAAGTGGGGCCCATGTCAAAAAAGAAGGAGTAGACCGATATCTACTTCTTCACATTAGACCTTGTGTTAATAGAAATATCGGAATGTGTTAGATTAAAAAAGAATTTCTCATTTACAAGGTACCAAAAGAAGTGGTCCGATACATTCCATTATCACACCAGATCTCATGTTTGTAGATGTGTTGGAATGTGTGAAATTTGAAGAGAATCGGTTGCTTGTTTCGCATTTTATGAGAGTTAAAATTATACAAAATTTTGACCTGTTTTGGGGGGAGGTACCGGAAGGAGTGGTCCGATATATCCCATCTTTACATCAGGTCTTGTATTAGTAGAAATATTGGGAGGTGTGAAAT